TTGCTCTCTTTTTGTAGGAGCTCCACTGAGTTTTGATACTGTTTTTTGTTTGTTTGTTTTTTCCTCCTGGATATGAAATACAGCACCTCCCTGGCCTCTTCTGAATTTCTGATCCTAATTCCTGAGAAATCAGGAAAGACTCCCTTCACTGATGCAATCTGCCACAGATGTATATACTTGCTATACTTTCAAAATAACAGGGGTTTCTTCTGCCTTAGAGTCCATGTTTTTTTTTTCTCTCTTAAATCTACCATACACACACACACACACACACACACACACACACACACACACACAGTCTGCCACCCAAGAACTAAGGTTTGCTTGTTGTCATGTGGTCATATTTTTATCACAGTTGTCATCATGCTACTTTCTGTACCAGAAGTGAAGTAGCTGGTATGGTCTCTAACTAGCACTTCAGACTTAGTATGGGGTGTCTTTTGCCCAAGTGAAGGAAACCCACTTACACCATTTCCTGGCTTTCAGTCTTTGGAGAACTCAACGTTTGGTTGGGGAAGCTGAGTGTTACACCTGTATTCATTTTAATCCTCTAGTGACTAACTGGACACAATCCCAAACATTTTTTTTTTAAAATATAGTGGCTGGTGTCCCTTTACTCTTTCTTCACCCAAATTAAGCTTCACTGGCAGCAAAACTCCCAGGAGTCCCTGCTCTCTGATGAAGCGTGATTTCTCTGAATCATCTTCAAGTCAGTGGTCAATGACGCTCTCAGTGAGGTGCTCCACACAGTCCCCATTTTTCACATGATGCTCCATAGTACCTTGTCATACAACACACTGCAAAGAGGTCTTTGCATCTTCCTGCCTAATGTGGTCAGAAAGAAATCTGGCGTATGAGTGGAGGAAGTTCCCATTACCTGCGCATTGACTCTTCGGACTTGGCTAGGCATTCTGTGGGGGCTGCCTCTGAGGCTTGGAGACCCCATGGGATTCCTAGAGCTGGAGAACATCTCATTGATCTTTCTTGCTTTTTCCTGCCACTCCAGTGAGATGCAGCAGCCTGCCTAAACCCAGTGCAAAATCCTCTTCTCCCATTGCTGAAAATATGTCTGCAGGAGGATGGAAGCAAGGTTTCCTGTCTTCGGCACAGAACCGCCCCCAGAGTCAATTCCCCATTCTCACAGGAGCCCTGTGTTAAGCTGGTGAATCTAGAGGGTTTTAAAATCGTCCCTAATATAGTGATGAGGATCTTCTTTTATCTTCCGGAAAGACTGATTTTTCTAGGAAGTCATGTGCCCAGATTATTGGGAATGGACAGCAGTTTCTTACCTGCTCTTTCACACGGGGAGTTTCTTGGTGTCGTTCACCCCACTAATCCTACTTAATGCTCTGAAAACCTGTCTCTCCAGGCCGGACATCTCATTTCGGATGGAGCATCCCACGATTTGATCTCAGAAGAGTTGCCATAGCTTCTTATCTGATTATGAGGCAATAGTCCAGGGTCACCTGAACCAGCCTCAACTCCCAAGCACCACATATCCTAGCAGCAGATAATTGCAGAGGGGATGTGTACCCTCCTGGTGATTCAGTTTCAGGATGATTATTCAATAAGAGGTAACAACTGGGCACTGAACCTTAGTTCAGAGCATTGACTTTTCAAAAAATAACCTGCTGTATAATCATCGTCTAAAGCCTCACTGGTTTAAGGAAGAAATGGAAAATGTTTGTCTACCATGCCCACTTTTTTTTTTTTTAAGATTATTTATTTATTTATTTGACAGAGAGAGACACAGCGAGAGAAGGAACACAAGCAGGGGGAGTGGGAGAGGGAGAAGCAGGGTCCCCGCTGAGCAGGGAGCCCGATGTGGGGCTCGATCCCAGGACCCTGAGATCATGACCTGAGCCGAAGGCAGACGCTTAACGACTGAGCCACCCAGGTGCCCCTACCATGCCCACTTTTTAATGATAAAAAACAGCAACCACGAATCCTTTTAGTCCTAAAGAAATGAAAATTGCTGATTAATAAACACACACAGACCTGGATTTTGCCACCACTACTGCAGTGACACCTCTGATCATTTTCACCTTTTATCTCAACATGGAGAATCACGCGACGCAGGTCATTTTATTTTTATTTAGTAGACTGAAATCGAACTTCGAATTCTCCACACTCAAACTTGAAAGAAAATGTGTGTGTTGTAGCAAATTAGACTTCCGAGCGAATTCTTCATAGAAGTGATCTAAAGTCACATGAGGGTGAGGCTTTTCAGCTCTTTTTTTGATATATGTGTTTTCTTTGAAAACAAGAACACTTATGGATGCCCCTTTAAGAGACCCACTACCGAGGTCCTTTATAGTTTTGCAGTTTAACATTTTAGTAAAATGCTTGTTTACTCATTACTCTTTACATTTACGTTGCTCTTTCTGTAATGTGTCTTTTTTTCACTAGTACGATATCACCTTCTTCAGTTGATTTTTAAATAGGATGGTAAACTATGTGACCATTCCACCCAGCAGGGAGAGTGTTTTAGAAGCCAGCTTACTTAATTTTGTGATCTAAAAGAAATTAACAGTGAAACAAATTGTATTACATCATCTTATGAATTACTATAATGTTTATTTTAAGAATATTTTTTTTCTATAATTTCTAGCCTCACATTTTGTCAATATTCTATCTTATTAACTCTATGGAGGAAGAACCAGTAACTTGTGGAAATAACATAAAATAGAATTAAAGCTATTTAAGTTCCCAAGTTGCTTGGAAGAAAATTGGATTTAATGCTGATATAATTGCGACTGGACAGTCTGTGGATGGAGTTCCACCAGAAAGCAATTGGGAAGTTGATGGGGAAAAAAAACTTTGCTATGGACATTGCCGTCCACCGTTTTTGTGTTGGTGGGGAGACACAGTATGTGAGAATTTCAAGGCATCATTAATTTCCATAGCCACTGTAAAATAGAAGTAAGTTAAGTACATGTGAAAACACTAAGTATTCTTTTTTTCATCTTAAAATTTTTTATTGTTATGTTAATCACCATACATTATATCATTAGTTTTTGATGTAGTGTTCCATGATTCATTGTTTGTGCATAACACCCAGTGCTCCACGCAGAACGTGCCCTCTTTAATACCCATCACCAGGCTAACCCATCCCCCCACCCCCCTCCCCTCTAGAACCCTCAGTTTGTTTTTCAGAGTCCATCGTCTCTCATGGTTCGTCTCCCCCTCCGATTTACTCCCCTTCATTCTTCCCCTCCTGCTATCTTCTTTTTTTTTTCTTAACATATATTGCATTATTTGTTTCAGTGGTACAGATCTGTGATTCAACAGTCTTGCACAATTCACAGCGCTCACCATAGCACATACCCTCCCCAGTGTCCGTCACCCAGCCACCCCCTCCCCCCCCCCCCCCCCATGTCCAGCAACCCTCAGTTTGTTTCCTGAGATTAAGAATTCCTCATATCAGTGAGGTCATAGGATACATGTCTTTCTCTGACTGACTTATTTCACTCAGCATAACACCCTCCAGTTCCATCCATGTCGTTGCAAATGGCAAGATCTCATTCCTTTTGATGGCCGCATAATATTCCATTGTGTATATATACCACATCTTCTTTATCCATTCATCTGTCGATGGACATCTTGGCTCTTTCCACAGTTTGGCTATTGTGGACATTGCTGCTATAAACATCGGGGTGCACGTACCCCTTCGGATCCCTACATTTGTATCTTTGGGGTAAATATCCAGTAGTGCAATTGCTGGATCATATGGTAGCTCTATTTTCAACTTTTTGAGGAACCTCCATACTGTTTTCCAGAGTGGCTGCACCAGCTTGCATTCCCACCAACAGTGTAGGAGGGTTCCCCTTTCTCCGCATCCCTGCCAACGTCTGTCATTTCCTGACTTGTTAATTTTAGCCATTCTGACTGGTGTGAGGTGGTATCTCATTGAGGTTTTGATTTGTATTTCCCCGATGCTGAGCGATGTTGAGCACTTTTTCATGAAACACCAAGTATTCTTTATAGCTCCTTCTACTGATACGTAGATTTGATCACACGGTAGAAATAAAAGTAATGAAATCAATTTTCTCTCTTACATAATGTGATTTTTAAATTTAACTTTAGTTAATATTGTTAATATAACCCAGTAACCAAATAGAGTGTGTTCAGAACCTGATTTTATAGGACGTGCCCTAGCACTAGGAGCCAAGACATAGACATCTTCCAATATGAGGTTATCAAGAGGGCATCCCATTTATTATTGGCACCTGCTATTTAATTAAGGTGCCATGATTGCTCATGGTATGCTGAGATTACATGGTGTAAAACTGTTTCTGTGGTTGTCCTTTTCTTTGTTGACTCTGAATTATTTTCTCTTTTATGTTCCATTTCTGCTGTCATTTCTAATAGCCCTGCCTCGCCACCACTTCCTAAAATATAATGTAGGGGCCATGATTACATCATAGTGTTTGTTCATACTAATGACCCTCTGCTTCCAAATTTTAATACAAGGTTAAGAGAGGAATGGATAGAGTTAGTAGCTTTTGAACATCAATGAAGCGGTCCTTTGTACATTTGCATTAAAATACTAATGCATGTTAAACACAAAATCTGCAGGGTAATTTTTCTTTCATGACAAAATAGAGCAAATATTATTAAATACCCTTTAGGTGAGAGACTATTTTAGAGTGGTTACTATCCCACATCCTGAACTCTGAAAGTCAAGACCATTTTCTCATAACTATAGAAAGAATCCACTGGGGTTCCTGCTCTTCAGGCCTCCATTCTGATCATCATTACAGAATGTTTAAAAAAAGGGTGTATTTTTGCGATCAGGCTTATCATTAGTGTGCCTATTTTTATTTTATTCTCGGGGGGGTGGGGCGGGGGGGTGGGGGAAAGACACATTTAGTTGAGAGCTGTTCATTAGCCACCGTCGAGGAAGAAATTGAACTTTCGAGAATCTGTCAAAGATTCTCTGGTGAGCCTTTTATTACTATCTTGTCTTGAGCCCTTTTTTTAATGACATCTATTATCAGATTGAAATGGCGATTGAGACGCTGCAAAAGTCTGACGGTCTGTCCACTCACAGAAGCTCTCTCCTCAACAGCCATGTAAGTTGCCTCTTCTTCATGTAAACTAATCTCTTGCTTGTTCTGCATGTGTTGCTTGCTTCTAAATGCTTGTTTTATTTATTTATTTATTTTGCTTCTTAACCTTCCTTTCTCAGCCCCCTATGATCTCTGTATCCCTTAATGGCTATTTTATACAGTGGAATATCTAAAAAAAACAAAAAACAAAAAACAAAACACAAAAATGCAAAAAATGGAGGCCCCAATATACTGCTTTACTAGGTTTTTGTGCTGTTTTGGTACAGATGGAACATTTCCAAGTTAATGCCGAGCTGCCATATACTTGTGAAAATTAATTAATTAATGGGGATTTTCAGTATTTAAAGTTTTCTGGTTTGATATTAATTGTGAAGCAAATGCTTGTGATCTGCATCTCTGTGTCCAAAGCAGGGAAACAGTCATATCTACTTGTATGACCAGTAGTATTCTTTAAGTGGAAAGAGATGATTAATACCCAACGCAATGGTAAACTGTCTGAAAATGATTTATTTACCAGTAAGACTATAGAAGGTAGGCAGGAAACTGACCTAGGTGAGCTCAGGTCCTGAGATCTCCAGAAAAATGGAACTGGGCCAAGAGAAGAAATGAGACTCTAGATGAGCCATAAATTGCTAATAATTGAGATTAAACAGGATCATTGTTACTATTTCTTGATGCTTTTAACTGTTACCAGATGCAGCCATCACTATAACACTGGTAAGTCTGAGAAGAACAATGACAGTTTTGTGAAACTATAAACATTTTCAAATTTCAAATTTCGGGGAACCAATGGAAATGATGATTAAAAATTATTTTGTTGTCGTGATTTCTGAATATGTGGGAAAAAGTAAATAGAACTATGACTTACCTCTTTTAGACAGATCTTCTGCTAAATTAATATCAATGACAATACACTAAGAATTAGTTTGTCCTCCCAACTGACAATGTATGCTTAAACTGAGAGATAAGTTATTATGATTTTTAAATTCTTCCCCATATTTTGAGTGAAAAGTCTAAAATTGGATCACCCAGCTGAAATGAGATATTGTTATTTTTTCAATAAACCTAAAACCTTTAGTTTGCAGATAATATTTTTACTGTGCTTTTTAAATAATTGACTTTTCAAAGATTTAAATTTTATATTCCCACATAACACTAAATACTTCCATGTGTTTTACACATTTGTTTTTAGATGAATATTGTGTGTTCTTTCTTGTTCAAGGGGAAGTGTCATGGCAAATAAAAACAGGTTAGCCAATTTGGAGAATGTCTGCAATTCTGGTGAAAATTATAGATTGTAAATTTCAAAATAATATATATTTTGGCCTTTCTTTTTGAAACAGTTTAAGGAATGTGATTTTTCCCCCCGTCTGAAAGTTTGTATGCAATATGTCACTCTTTTATATGTTTCATCACTATATCCCTGCTGTGTTAGCATGAATTTGTAGTTGTGTATAAAGACTGGTTTAATGTACACTATTAGGTGTATGTTTTTGGGGGGTGGGTAATGATTAACTGGTGTTTGTGTTTTGAAAATGGCAAGTAAAAATGTTGTTCACTTTTAGTCAAAAATGTACAGGGACATAAGGAAAAAAAAAAACACCTGAAGTTTATAGTTACCTTTTTGAACTGTCAGACTTCTAAGAAATTGTGTTTTGTTATTCAATTCATATCTCATTTTCACTTGAATTATGCAGTTTAGTAAAATATATGATATGTTTAATTTTAACTTGAATTCGTATATTATTAGTATTCCATGAACAATAATGTAGGCATAAGAACATGTTTTTTTTTTTTTGTATATTTTTGTTGATTTGTTGGAAACTCTTCAGATATGCTGGTGTTTCTTTGAGATTGTTATTCTCTGTAAAACTCACGAAATAATATTCAATGTTCATGAACGTTTGGCTTAAGCTGCACAAACAACAAATAAATGTGTTACTCTGTGGCTCCATATTTTTTATTACATAGCACGGCAACTCTTCCATAGTATTTTCCAACTGCCAGAGACCTCTCAGTATATACGGTGGGCATAAAGACATAAATGTTGCGAATGCAGTGATAATCTCTCTCTAGATGTCCTGATTTGTTTTTATTACACCTCCGAGGTAGTTAAATTCATTTAGCGCACATTTATGGTCGAGTTTTTTTAGAAATACCAGTGATTCTACAGATGGTATAGAAATAGTAAAGGAAGGATCGTGTCTCTGCTGACCAGTCAGGTTTCTCCCTGAACACATAACAAGAATCCTGTTTTTCTGTCCTTGGAAAGTTAGTGATGCTCCTAATTTTTGTTAGATTAAGCCAAACAACTGGAATAAGCTACTGCATGTGGTCTAGTTGATAACCACCTGCTAAGGGCATTTTAAATTCTGTTGACTTAATTGGTGATGTTCACCTGTAAAGAAAAATTTTAAAGTGGAGAAGTTCTTAAAAAATATATCCTTAATATCTTAAATGTCAGTAAACCGTAAATTACCTTTATCCCTCACTATATGGGACATAATATAGACTCATTTGAGGTTTGTGGGATTCTTTAAAGTGGACATGAATCCAACCTTATGATGATACTTCCCTGACTTATCAGTTACTACAGAGGATTGATTTCAGTAGGGAAAACATTAGGGGAACTGATTAATAAGTTGTGTCCTATAGTTAGTAGTTTCAAAAGAGGCATCTTAATCATGATTTTTGAGCAGAAAGTCTGTTGTCATTCTATTTTGGAATATGGGACAGAATGGGTTTCCTATTTTCCCTTTAGACATTTGATTATTCACAAGAATTCAGAAAATTCTTATTAGGGTTAAACCAAATAAATAATCTCCTGTCAATAGAATCCAACATGATTGCTTTGTTTTTCACCTTTCTTTCTACATATTAGAAGACAGAGTGGGGTGGAGTGGGGTGTTGAATTTTGTGCCCCCTTTTCATACCCTTAAGAGTACTTAGTACGGCTACTCTGTTTTTATCATTATCTTGCTATTATCCTCCAGGTTGAAACGCATGTATACTTCTCAGTTTCATACCTTGTACAGCGCCCCACTCGGAAACTGAGTATAGTTACACTGAGTGCCATGTTTTTTTTCTATTATTGTCAGTATTCACAAATTGGCAGTTATTTCAGTAGTAACACCATGCAGGCAGACAGTAAGTACATACTGACAAGTTAAAGTTCCAAGAGAGTAAGGACTTGATATGTTTTGTCCACTGATGCATCCCTGGTGCCTAGAGCAGTACCTGGTACATGGTATAAGTTTCCTAAATATTTGCTCAATGGATGAACCTAAGAAACAAGTAATAGAAGGGGACAGACCTTTACGAACATTTTTGGCATAGAGTGGCCTTCTCCCTGCATACAATTTGAGTGAAAGAGTATATGATTACTCTATCACTGCCCCACGGGCAACCTTCAGTTTAAGAGTAGACAACTTTGTTTCTCTCCAAATAATCTCATCCTTCAAAAAACTTATAGGCAAGGGTGATATCACTCATCTCCTTGTATTTTAGAATGGTACTTTTGATTTAGCTTTACAGAACTCACTCTATTAGTATAATCATTTTTACTTAAATATTTTTATTTCCAAATCTTAAGTATGTGAAGATGCAGTGGGGCTAATGATATATATATCGTCTGCCTGAAACAGACTATCATTGTGGACTTAAGTTTATTTTATACTCCTTCTCAATTGTAATTAATATAAATTGGCACTTAATGATTATTTTGTATCCAATGTGAGATATTTTAGATTGCAAATTTGAACACAGAAATGTTCTTAAAACTAATTGTTCCCAATTTCCATACGATGTTCTTGAACTTGTGCATTTTTAAAAAATTTCATCTAAAGTATATAATAAGCATTAGGTATTTATCTTTTATACTTTTTACGATGTAGCAAGTAGTTGTTTTATGATTTTTGCTGATTTTAGCCACTGAAATATATTCAGCTCAAAGCCAACCCTTGTTTTATACTCACTTTCCCTTGACTTTGATGTATTGTAAATATAAGTTATGACAGAAATAAGACCTGTCAAAATGCATATCATCAGTGAACTGAACTTAAAATGAATCCTAATGGATAATAATCCATCTGGGAAAAAATGCCAAATGTTACATTTAGATGTTAATTGGGGAATGCAGTATGTATTTTTTTTAATTTGTCAATCAGTATTTCCCTTTGGGAAAAATAAGAACTGTTCATCTTCCTTAATCTACCCTGATTAATATAGATTAAATGCAAAGGTTGAAAGATGCAATTATCTTGGTTTCCACCCTTAAATGAATTTGTGTTCATTAGTAGAATAATCAAGTTTTAAAGATAAAGGTTAAAAGTTCCTATGGTATTTTATGGGCTTTTAAAAACCGTTAATGTAAACAAATATTTTATGGCATTTTATAACAGAGTAAAAGAAACAGTAATAGTTTAGTTCCAAATTGCTAAATGTTAAGGATATTGAATTTTAGTGTCCAAAGGGATTTTATTAAAAAAACCCAAGGAAACTATACCTTGTAACAAGCCTTAACTTAACTTCCCTTGGGCAGCACAAGAGGTGTATGCCTTTAGGTTACACTTAGCTCAGGTTTCTCTTACAACAAAATTAATCCTTTCATATACTGTGTTTCAGACTCAAATATATGATTTCCAATTTCATCACTGTGTCAAAACTTGAAGGTGAAATAACTGGCATGTAGAATGCACATGATAATCCCCTGCTGAATCTCAGAATCTAACCAATAGCTCCTAAACCAATGTCCACGTATACAATGAGCTAAGGAGCACCACACTTATGGGGTAGAGTTGTCCCCAGGTTTCCTAGCCGGAGCCTCCAGCCTTCAGGGCTTTTTACCTCCACTCAGTCTCCTTCTGCTCTTCCAAGTGATCTCCAGCCTTCTGGCAAGGAATAAATGTTCTTCCTCCTGCAAATAAGGGGCAGGGAACGAAATGTACCTTTGCTACTGTCAAAGTTACGGTCGTCCGAACGTCCACTCTTCCAGAGTTTTTCAAATCAACTGATGATGTAGACACGTACATACACACACATATTGCAAATAAACTCAGATTTTTTTTTTTTTTTAAGAACTGGCTTGGAAATGAAGAGTCTATAAGAATATAAAACTATGTACAATAAAAGAAGTTTGCAAAGTCCAGATTTTTTTGACTTGCTGAGCATTTCAGAGGACCACGTAGCCAATCCAGTAAAAACTTCATTTTCTCTATTCATTTGGGGCTTGAGTAATATTATCCAGGCTTCGAAGTGCTTTAAGACAACTTTGCTGTCATTATCTCACTATTTCTGTGGAAAGTTTTCTTTGATTAAGAATGGTCTGATTAACTCTTTTATATATGTAAACATACCTTTGGACTCAAAATATTTTCTGTTGAACTTCAATATTTACACTAGTTTTCACTTTTATAAAAGACATCTTAAGATCATACCCTTCAAATATTTTATTATTAGATTTGCTTTTCAGGTTTTTTTTTAAACTACAAGACAATTTTCTTTATCATGAGAAAATAGTAAACTGTCATTTTTAGATACCTGTCTTTATATTTAAGTAATTAAATATTGCAAGAAAACTAGTAAACATTTGAGGCAGTTTATGGAAATTTTCTATTTATATCTCATTAAACAAAGTATTTTTATTTGCTTTATAGCTTATTGAAAGTATTTTGCATCAGATCTATTTTTACTAGTTGTATACTTTGGGTTATAAAGTTCATGTTATAAAATCATCTTCCATTTCTGAAAAAAGAATATCCTTTCAATTAACATTTCCTGTACAGATCTGTGTTCTGTTCATTAGCAAAGAAAGAAATATTTTATTTTTATTTATTTATTTTTGTTAAAAAAATCATATTACTTTGACTTTGACAGTATGCCTTATATGAGGAAGCAAAGATAATATATATACAAACATATTTTTGGTATTTTTGACTTACATGTGTTGTGTGTTCCATGCTTGTGGATGTGAACACTTCATTAGTTCAGCTGCAAAATACTGTTTTCCCAAAAATATATAGAGTTTTTTATACGTTTGCCTTTCTGAGGATTCTTTTTTGGTGTTTCCTTTATTTTCCTTCATCTCAAGAAACTGAACTTCTCAGAGAATATTCCTTTCTATGTTTCTAGAGTCTCTGCCCTATATTTCTAGATTCTCTATATATTTAGAATACCAATGGAAGGCTTCATCTAGTATATGCTCACAAAAAAAGAGCTAGCATTTCTGGGAGATATGGTTCACTAGAGCTTCCCCAACACCATTCAAGTGGGGAAGCAATGCCTTCAGATGCCAGTCATTTTACTGATGCACGTGGATGAATTGTATGAGGCAGGTTTGTAGGGCCATATTTTGTGTGTCATCTACTTCAGTTGCCTTCATAATCTACAGACTCTGAATCTGAAAATTTATGAAGAAACGCTAGAGACATCCTGATCCACTGTGGTAGGCAGAATACTAATCTGAACTTATTTAATAACTGGGTTTTTCAATCATTTTGTCCCCTCTCTTTTATATAAAATGAATATGGATAAGTGAACTTAACTCTGTGTGTTATTTAGAATACTCAGAAATCCCATGTCTCTGGAAAACGCCTTTACTGACAGTCAGGTTACAGATAATTCATCTCTAAAGAATTCTTTTGACCTTTAATTTTTCTGTCGTTATGTAAATGAACGTTTATTTTGTATAACCTTTTTAAAAGGGAGGGTTGTATATGTTATAGAGGCAATGGGTTTGTTTAAATGCACATATTCATATGCATAAGTGTTCACGGAGAACTTCAAGACTCCCTGACCAGAACATGAACTTTATTTTTAAAAAGTACTCTGCTCTGGGGGCGCCTGGGTGGCTCAGTTGGTTAAGCGTCCCACTCTTGATCTCAGCTCAGGTCTTGATCTCAGGCTTGTGAGTTCAAGCCCCATGTTGGGCTCCACACTGGGTGTGGAGCCTACTTAAAACAAACAAACAAACAAACAAACAAAAATACTCTGCCCTAACTTGTAGACTTGGTACCCATATTTTCTGAGCCAACATCAGTATGAGTTTAGTGACATAAGTTTAATTAAATGAAGTTTAATGCTTAAATATAAGCATTGTGTAGGAATATTTGAAATTAAAATGGTTCTGGGCAATTCAGCTGTCATAGTTAAAGGCAATAATTCTAAAATATTTTTAATTAATTTTCTTACTAAGAGTCTGAAAGTTCACGATCTGAGTTTGTTCATGAATCTTAAAATATATAAGCAAATGCTTTAATATATTTGAGTGTCCATATTGTCTTTTTTGGAATATGATCGTAAATTCCTAGAGGACGGGAGTGAGATCACATTCATTTCTACATCACTAGGTGCCTAGCACGTTGACTGGCTCATAGTTGATGCGCCAGGAATTCTTGGGCTCTCATGACTTAAGTTTAATTTAAATTGCATGTAAAAATATCACTTCTTTATCACACCTCTTAGATATGGCATGGAAATTTTGTTGAGACAAGTAATGTGAAGTATTTGCTGCTTTTATGGAAATAACAACCAGCATGCAAGCAATCAGCAAACGTGTGTTGGGAACCCAATCAGGCTCTGAGACAATCTATGACCTTAAGAAAGTCATTTAAATCTATTTCATTTCTTTTTTATGAATAAATGAATGAATGAGTTAATAATTTCATTTTCCTACTGTTGATATTCAGTAATACATACCTATATTACATTTTCTAAATTTTTTTTGCACTTGCTATACTTTAAAGATTATTTTTAAAAAGTACAGGACAACATAAACCTTTAAAATGTGAACCACAGACTGAGAAAATGTTGCTTTACCAGCTACCATTGTAATGTGTCTTCTAAAATTATGAAGAAACGTAGCAGGGAGGTAGCAAAACTCCAATGATCGTTTAAAGATTGCTTTTTGAAAGTTACATAATTTTTTTTTAAATCAGTGTCTAATGAATTTCTTTCCTTCTGGGGAAGAAATGACTGGATTTTTTCCTTTCTGCTCACAGAATTGGACACAGTAGATAATATCATTGTTGTCCTGTTTGAGTAAATTAGATAGGTAAATTAAAATTCTATGTAAATGAATAGAAACTTAATACAAAAACTCATACCAGGCAGCCTGCTGTTCATGTGTTAAAACAAACTAACACTAAAGCCATAATATGTGCCATGCTGCCAGGCTTAGAAACATGTCTTGTACTGTAGCAATTATAAATTTTATTTACAATGGGTAAATGGGATTATCTGAATTCCCTGAAGAGGTGTTTGTCTACAAAATTGCAGTCAATACAGGGACCACTAATGTTCTATACATGTGCTTGAATATTTGAAGGAGTGGACATGGTCCAAGGTCATAAATTATGTTCAGCAATGCACACTTCTGAGAGTTTTCAAGGTCAGATTATATCAGCCTGTGAATTACAACAGTTTACCCTATTACAAGGCTTGGTGAAGATCTTCTAGGTACTTCTGTGTATTGTATTTATAGTGGCTTGTGGACATTTTGGTAAATTATCTGGTTTCTCTGTGTTTATCCTGTCTTATTTATACTAGCTCCAGTGGTTATTGGACAATTACGAGACCGCTGAAGGAGTGAGCCTTCCCAGAAGCACGTTGTACAACCACTACCTACGACATTGTCAGGAACACAAACTGGACCCAGTCAATGCTGCTTCTTTTGGAAAACTAATAAGGTCAATTTTTATGGGATTACGAACCAGGAGATTGGGAACTAGGTTAGTACGAAAAAATAAGATCATAAACTAATCCCTCTCTTTCAAACTAAAGCAGTTCAATATATCGTTGGAGCAAAAGTGCTTGATTATGGATAACATACAAAGAAAAAATGAGGAGATAGCTCAGTTTATACAGTCTCTCATGAAGAGGTCGTTATCCAGGGAATACTGCGAAGCCAGAACGATGCACTCTCTTAAACGTAACTGAGCACAGCTTTGAGAAGAGTTGGTTCTCAAATCATATAGAAATCAGCAAGTCAAACTGTTAGTGGAAGATTTACACATGGTGCCTTAAAAATTAATATATATCACTATTTTCTCTTTTTAAAAATAATCAGACTAGAGATGAGTAAGTGATGTAGTCAGTGGAAAACTATGTATCTCTTGACTCTGGCAAAATTATATTGAAATGTCTTTATTAATAACTCTTCTATTTGAATAGAGTGAGAAATTGAAGCCGAGTTTTTCTTTTCATTTCTGGAGATCAATTAAAAATCATTTGGTGAACTTGAAAAACGGGAGTTTGAAGCCCTCAGTAATGACATGGTCCTATTTAGCCTCTTCTTAGCCTTTTTTAAACTCTTGACTGTGAAACCGTACATGTGTAGAAGTAAAAATATAGTATACTTCTGTTGTACAGAAACCAGTAATGTGAAAGAGATTCTTAGTTTCTCATTTCTTTCCTTTGGAAAGAGATATTAGTGTTTTTACTAATCAAAATATCATGAACATAATACTTGGAACTGTAGAGTTTCATTTTGGGCCTTTCTCTAATTTTTTACAAATTATCATAACATAATTATTTTAAGAAGCTGGGCAGAAGGATATGGATGTTTTCGATTTCCTAAATCCTACAGCAATCTATATTAAAAAGTATAAAAATAAAGATGCTACACTGTATAACATTAGATGATACCCCCCTCATTGATTTTGAAGTCACAGCTTCCTAGTATTCTAGTGAAGGGTATTTAATATTTTGTTAATGAAACAAAGAGACCCTTGGTAATTGACTTCATTGTAAATGTATGCTAAAAACAGGGGGGGGAATGTCTCAGATTAATGGCATTGACGAGGTCTATATGTATTCAGAGTGTGAATACTCCTTTCTGTTGCATTTCAAGTGATTGTACCTTCAGGTTGCTGGAGGTTCAGTTCTCTCATAAATGTATTTTCTTGTACCTGTACTTGAAAAGATAGTATACTTTAAACTGAAGAATATGATTGTCTATTACAGCTGAAGGAACTAAAGCTTTCAGTCCCTTGAAAAAAGCTCTTTGTCTCTCTCATATTTTTCCCCCCAGAACCACAAAAATCATTATTTGGGGATCTAACCTACTATCCCCTCACCAAAGGCTCAGGAGTTATGCATACCGTGCCAATATTTTGAGACTCTGGGCTTTATTCAGCATTCTAATAGTGGGTATTGTTGTGCTCCTTTTGTTGCTGAGAGGGATTTCAGTGGGTCTTATTTTGAGGCTCCATTCAAACCTTGAAACACATCTTTAAAATAGAAAGGGACAAAATTGGGGTTGTTTGGGTTTGTGAATGAGTGGAATCCATACTCTATAAGTACATATTGCAATATTGCAGCTTTTACTTTCTGATGTTCTGTTTTTCCCCCTTACTATGTAACATTTATGTCTCCTATTCCTTTTACAATTGTATGTAGTGTTTGCAATTAGAGATGGAAAGGAAAGCCTAGAAGAATAAGGAGAAAAGAAACCCTATGGGGACAGTTTAAGCAAATGCTATGTTACGAAGACAGCAGAACTCTAATGTAGAATCACTGACAACGATGAGGGTAAAGCACCATAGATTCTGTCATGAAAAGTGGTTTCTCATTCATTTACTACTTCTAACCCAGGGAAGAGAAAGAAAATCAGCATTATAAACTATGAAGCGAATTAACTCAGATTCTACTTTTCTTTCTCTTTCTTTCTCTTTTTCTTTCTTTCTTTCTTTCTTCCTTTTTCTTTCTTTCTTTCTTTCTTATGAACTATATACAGAACTGTTATTTCTTCATCAGTAAAATAATCTAGTGAATTAATTCAAACCCAAACTAGACCTTTTCTCAACTTTATGGAGCTAAGTGAAACAATACATAAAATCACCATGTTTCTAAACAAAGGCAAATCAAAAGTTTCCTTTTGTTAGAATCCATCTGCAAATTAAGTTTAAGCAAAGAAGACCATGGGACATGGCTGATCTCCCCCAACCACCTCCCCACCAACCCAGTGAAAATGCGGATTTGTAGGAAATGGAGAAGAAACCAGACACTTTATCTATTTTGGTCTACAAGAGAGACACCGTTTTACTCTGTTGCTGTCATTGGCTACCTCCCCTGGGGAATGTCTCCTGCTTCCCACCCCTACTCTACTCCCTACCCTTCTCCTGTTTGTAAGGGAGAATGCTACAAATTGGTGTTTTTTGGTTTTGTTTTTTGTTATGTTCTGCAGTGGATTTTGGAGACAAGATCTAATCTCTGCAAGTAGAAGGCCTTAAGTTTTCATACTGTTTTATTTTACCAAAACAAGGTAGATATTAAATGTCCTACTTTTAAAAAAAAAGCAATATTATTTATAGAATAAGATTTTAATGTCTTTGAATATATAGGCTTCATCTGATATATGTCCTTTAATTTTGGAAGTAAAATTCTCTTCTATTTTTATATAAAATATTTAATCCATACTCTTCTTGCATTTCTTTTTGTAAATGAAAGAAATAAATGGAAAAAGCAGCTGATGTCTTGCTATATATAGACTTGTGAAAAACTATTTTCCCTTTGCAAAAATTTACATATTTAAAACGTTATTTTTGCAAGAATTTGCAAATTTCATTCAGAGCAAAACTTTGTCATTTCTAATAGCAAACATGGTCTTTCTCATGAACATGGGGAAATTGTGACAATTTTTATCCAGGTGGAGATTTGCCATTTTCACAGAGAAATTTCCCCATGTCTGTTGTGACACATCTTATTCAGCCCGCAAACCTTATATGAATTCGTTAGAACAGAGACTAATAAAATAGATTTCAAAATCAATAGATTGAATACCTGCTTCCTTTTAGGTTTCAAAATAGTAAATAATAGACTTCACGACAACATTCTGTATCAGTGAAGTTACCTTCATCACCCCTGCAGTAATAGAACGTGCAGAAATGGAGAACGTATCCAAGACAGTAGAATCAAGATTCCTTTTCTTTGTTTTGTATAACCATTTTATAAGAAATTCCCATCTAGCATGCAACCCTTCATCCTCTTGTTGTATTTTTATTGGCCTGACCTTTTTTTCCACCATTACCCCTTCTAAATTAAATGTAGAATACAAATTTGAAAAGAAAAGTGTAACTTACATGGACTCAGTGGGCTCTCGTACTAATATTTAAGTTTATAAGGAAAGAATTTTTTGCAGGGCCCTGAGCCAGCTGATTCAGAATCTTATTTTGATTCTTCAGATGTAGCTGCCATAAAAATATACAGGTGACCCAGAACAGGCAGATCATAAATATACAACATAAATATGCTTCTTTTACCTAATCTTTCCCAATGTGTAGCTAAGTGGACATCCTATATGATTAATATTGGTTCGACTGACTTTCTGTGTCTCTAATGTTTGTTGTTCTTTTATGAAGAGGAAACTCCAAGTACCATTACTATGGGATTCGTGTCAAGCCAGATTCCCCTCTGAATCGTCTGCAAGAAGACATGCAGTATATGGCTATGAGGCAACAGCCCATGCAACAGAAACAAAGGTAGACTCTGGAATGATCCCTCACCTGTCCAAGCTACGTATTTCTTTAGATGTGCAGTCTCCTTTTTTCTAGAACAAATACTTAAGGGTGCAAGAATGTGGCTGTTGTCTGCATGCGTTTACTTACCATGGACAGTTCTCAAATATGATTAGTAGAATTTCATCCACCCTGTCTGTTTTCCAAATCTTTTTAAAATTACTTATCAGACAACCTGTTTGGCCCCTTGTATGTTAAATGTGACATCCCAAACTATGCAGCCAAGGAAACCCAACACAACACATAAGGAGCAAAGCCAAGCAAATGCCCCCTGGAGAAACTTGCTTCCGTGTTGGTGAGTTCCTTCCTTGCCATTGGCAACCTCCCTCAGTCACTCTTCTTGATGTGGTAGGAATATTGGCAACATGTTCAAGACTTCTTATATTTTCTTTGAATCCAACTTTCAAAGATGAAGAATGGTAGATATTAGAGCTGTAAGAGGTCTCAAGCATTCATGGATGGATGGATGGATGGATGGATGGATGGAATCATAGATCTTAGAATTAAAAATGCCTCGGTCTAGTCTGGCCCCTCAGCTTTGTGATGACCAAGGCCTTAATGGCTCTGTTTTTCAGTGAAGTCCCAGAGAGGTGAAATGATTTGCACAAGCCCACAGTGCTTTTACATAGCCAAAGGCCTTCTAGTCTCATGTGGCTTATATCACAGTTTAGAGTAAATAAAATGAAAAATCCCTTCCTTTTTACCAGTATAGCTCAGCCATGATAGTAGTTATAATTTTTCTTTTCAATTGAGTATGCAGAATTAAGTAGGGGAAGGGAGACCTGTATATAGGTCATCAGATGATCTGCCTCAGTCTTCCTAATTTACTGATCTGGGATGATTAGCCAGGTCCCTTCCCCATCCACACTAGCTTAGTTGGGAGCATTAGCTCCAAGTCACTGCCAAAGAAAGAATCTATCTCCCAGTGGCCCTTCCCTTCCTTGGTCAGCAAGTACTGATGTTGTCTCTGCCACCTGCTAGACACAGTCTCTAACTTTGAGGAGTTAAGAAATTAGAAAGTGGAGGCCCAGGAAACTTTTTTCTTAAGTAATGCAGTGTGAGAAGTGCTGAAGTAAAGCTTTGATCCAGGAACTACTGAAATACAGAGGAATTTTCAGCTAAGCCCAGGAGAGTTGAGAAGTGTCCGAGAGAAAGCGCTGTTTGAGGGGGACTCAGAGGTATCAGAAGGAGGAGTGTCAGGCAGAGAGACTCAGGCACACAAGAGCACCAGGGTGGTATAAAGTCCAGGATGTCCTTGGTAAGTACTGTGTGAGTCGGTGAGGCTGACCCAGCAGGAGCAGAACTAAGAAGAAGGTTGAGTCATTCAGCAGATGAGATTGAAAACATACTTAGGGGACTCGGTTGTATATGCAGCTAATAAGTTTGTTCTTTGTGCGCAGCATAGCTTTGAAGCTGTGTAAGGCTTTGGAGCAAAACAATGGAACTTATAGATTTTTTTTTAGAGAGATGACTTATCTGGGACAAGACCTATTTCATGGGAGCAGACTGGAGGTAAAGACTCGTTAAATAGTTTAACGCGATCATAATTTCTGGCACTAGTGTTCCAGACTGGAGTCCGTCCATTCAGGATTGGCTATTAAATGAAGGTTATCTCAGGGGTTTTAGGTTTTTGATTCACAGATTCTTGACCTTATTTTTTTAAATGCTAACTTCTGAGTTTTTTGAGGTATTATAGTCATTAAAATATATTAAAAGACCTTGGAAAAATACAATAAAATAAATCATAGACCAGTTCTTTATAGGTGGAGTTTGTGTGAATTGTAATAAATTATTATTGTCTTGGGTTATGATTATCTTGTCCACCTGTTGGTGGCGACACTTAGAGCCTTTAGTGTCTGGTGTCTTCTCTGCACTCATGCATCACGGCACTGCACAGTGGAGCTGATGGTGAGGTCAAGACCAAAACAAAGTTTGATTCAAAAATAACATATATTCAAACTTAAATATGAACAAAAACTTGATAGATAGCACTTAAGACAGCTGAAACTCACCTCTTCCTGTGATTTACCTGCAAAAAATCCAAGCAAGTTCTCGTGGAAATGGAAGCCTTCAAGGAACATTCTTTGTAAAAAAAAAAAAAAAAAAAAAGGCCTGGGTTAGGGAAGCAGGACCTAGGACTTAGAAAGGTCTCCTTATGAAACAGATTCCAGAGCTCTAACGGTTAATAAGCCATGGACACTCTCCCTCTCAGTCTAGTTGTAATTGCTTTTAGAATCAGACATAATGTGGATGCATTTAAGAAGGGATATAAAATTCTCAGTGATGTTAATAAATTGTACCAACTTTAGTTCCTTATAGTGTTTGCTTTCTTGTGAAATAAGGATGTGGGAGAACCAAAGAAGTATAGTTGACCCTTGGGCAACAGGGAATTAGGGGCACTGAGCCCCCTCACCGTCTAAAATCTGGGTATAACTTCTGACTCCCCGAAAAACTTAACTACTAATAGCTTAATGTTGACCAGAAGCCTTACCAATAATACTAAAGTTGATTAACACATATTTTGTACATTATATGTATTATATAGTGTATTATTACAATAAAGTAAGCTAGAAAAGGAAAATGTTACTAAGAAAATCGTCAGTAAGATACATTTACTGCATTGTATTTATGGAAAAAATTCTGCATGTAAGTGGATCTGCGCAGTTCAAACACGTGTTGCTCAAGGGCCAGTGGTACTGAAATTTTCTTTTGGTTGTTGTTGTTTTGTTTTTAACGATACAAGTTTTGGATTCTGGACAGTTGCTCTTGGAATGGCGTCTTGCTAACTGACTGCAATGTTAGTGTTGTCGACCTCACAGGCCCCTCATTGGGATTAGCAGGACAGAGGGAGGTTTCTGTTTTCTCTCTGAAGGATTCTACCAACTGGCCACATTAATAGGCCTTCAGTGAAGCCAATTATCCCACTGTGCAAAAACACTTGGACAGAAGAGGGAGTTTCTCTCCCTAAGTCTGGATGTCGGAGTTAAGAGTATTTGTTGAAAAACCATGGAAAAAGAAAAGTATTGTATCTTTTGTCTTATGGCTTATAAAACTCAAGTGATTCTATTGAATATATTAAACTTCACGTAAAAAGAGCCTGCCATTCTTGCTAAAACATAAGTGACATGTGAAAGGTTTAAAATATTTTATAGCAGCTACTTGTATTTAATATTTTAGAATATTCAAATTGTCTCAAGGCCTCGAGCATTAGTGTATACATCTACATGTGCACATCTTCCACAGTATAAATTTACATGTTTTATGTGTTCTTATGGGATGAAAATTCAAGTATATGCAGTGATCATTTGATCAAATACAAGTGAAGTTTCGCAGCTCAGTTTGTATACTTTTCTGTTGAGTTTGGAATCATAGTAGTTGGAGAAGTACTAATGATTATTGAACCCCTTTCCATTTGGTATCTCATTTAAAGATTTGATAGGGTAGTAGAGGAAATTTCCACTTGTCTACAAATCTGATTCCCAGCAACACCACCATATGGAACATAGCCACGAGTCTGGAAATAAATGGAAATAGCTTCTGATTGAAAAAACAGATGTCACAGAGCCCATAGTTTAGCTTAATTGAAAAGATGAAGCCATTCTCAAGCCATGTACCTAAACTAAAGGAGCAGATTAGAGCCTGCTCGATTCATAGGCAATCATGAGATAGAACAGTTGGCAAGAGGAAATGTAAGTTACAAGGTGACAAGGGTCTTCCGTTTGCTTTTGGGTTAATCAGCACAGAAGTGGGTGTACATTCAGTGGAGGGACAAGTAGACCCAGGTACTCCGGTAGTTTTGAGTATCATCAGTCTAGCGACTGGAATCTAGTCTAACACAGTGTAATAACTTTGGCTTATTGATGACATGCATAATCAAAAAGAGGTAAAGTATCCTGGGTAAGAAAGCAGGAGAATATGTAGTTGCTTTTTTGTTGTTGTTGTAATATCTCCTGTTGAAAATATTTCATATGAAAATAACTTCTGCATTTAAATGTCATTTTCAGTTTCAAGGAAAGTCACTCATGGATAATTTGCTTGCCCTAATTTAGACAATAAATAAATTAGGTTATAGAACAAAAATGAGAGCAGGACTTCTCAGGTCTACAAGTAAAAATGTTTGCTGCAGTTTATTTTTAATATTTAAAAGAAGCATCTATGTTGGCATACATATTTGAGTTGTTCTTCTGAATCCTCGTAGCAAAAGTGGGGGAATGGAGCCACGTGCTTTTGACAGTGTGCTGGGCTGTGTTTGATCCCAGTAGCCGTTCTCAAAATATTAAGGTGCATTTATCATTCCTTCAACAAACATCTAACCACCAGCAATTGCATACAGAATATGTCCATCACACCTAAAAGAGACCCTACAGAATCATAGAATGTTACAGCTGGAAGGAAGAGATCCCCCAGTCCAGTGTATCCTCTTGATGAGAAAACTGAAGTCCATCAGGGTCGATAACTTATCCACAGTCATATAGCAACCAGGGCAAAGACCCAGTCCTCTTGTCTTTGTTCTTACACGAATGCCCCCTTTAAATAGGGAAGATAACCCAAACAGAAACATACACATGTAATAGATTTGTGCACATGAAATAAAAGGAAAAATCACACTTCAGTGAGTATGTCCCAACTAGGGAAGACAGGTGTCACCTCCTGCCTCCTTGAATGGTCTCTTCATAGGAAATGGATTCTGTGAAAGAAGGAAGCTTTGTGGCACGAGAGGAGGGAAACAGAAGCCAGCTGGAAACATGGCACAGCAAGGCTGCTTTGCTTTGCTTTGCTGCAGACAGATGTGAAAGCATGCATGTTCCTAAGGAGTGAGACAGGACACGAACCCTTGTCATTAGAAGACCTTCCCCAAGGGCCGCCTGAGTGTCTCAGTCGGTTGGGCATCCAACTCTTGGTTTCAGCTCTGGTCATGGTCTCGAGGTTGTGAGAGCCCTTGGTGGGGAACCTACTTGAGATTC